GAGCGACGAAAATGGTCAAAGGTCTGGGAACACTGCCCTATGAAAGCAGACTGTCAACCGTCGACTTATTTCCCCTTTCCTACAGACAACTTCGAGGGTTCTTCCTACTTACTTTCCGGATTATGAATAATCTGGATTGTTGTTTCGTCCCCGATGATTTCTTTGCCCAGGCTTATACGCCAACTTTGCGCGGGCATCCCCTCAAACTACGCCCCGGCAAAGCAAGAATCAACAGACGAACGCTCTTCAGCAACAGAGTAGTTGCAGCGTGGAAAACCCTTCCTGAAGAGGTTGTCCTCTCCACTTGTGTTAATTCATTTAAGAGTAGACTGGACACGCATCAAGCACACACCCACATGAAAACCAGGTAAAAACACTGCATCGCATTATATTGCATCACATTTACTACATCAAATTATACTACTCGTGATTTGCGAGTAGCCATACTTGCCTGGCATATTTTTTTACTATTTGACTACCTAACAACTATGGTGTCTACCCGGAGCATGTAACTGACGTAATTTTTAAATTTTTCTTTGTATCTATTTATTTCCTCTCTTGTTACCAACAGGGAGTTCAAAGGCGTTCGCCTATTTTTTCCCCACTAAACTGATACTGATACTAATAACATGCCGGTACGTCATATAATCCGTACATCTGTCCACACATGCGTAACTTACCAATATTAAAGTGGTATTGACAAACAGTGAGTAGCATTGTTTTTACAAATAACTATTGTTCCGTGTGTGTTGGCTTAGGTCGAATTCATACTGTCAAGAGAAAACATGGGACACATCTAAAAATTGGGCGTCAAATGTGTCACTATGAAAAAGGTATTGATGTAGTAGTAATTTGAGCACATGCGCATTGAACCAGAATCACAAACAACTACTTACGACTAAGTCTAGCAGGCAATTTGGCTTCAAAGTCTTAAAACTAACCGAAGTACTTTCTTAGCATATCTTTTAATTGACTTGCTATTGGCAAGTGGACGCATTCCACTTTCCATAGGGTTTAATGACCTCCTTATTTGAAATACAATATCATATTCCTTATTTTCAACTTTTTTTGCAAAAACGCAGTGGAAACTTACATTGGGACGGAAGAGTCGTTGACTTTTTAAAAATACACCACATTTGTAAACCCTGCTGTGGTTGACTGTAGACCCCAGTCTTCAGTTTATGACTTCAGAGGCCTCATTTTTGAGTCCGAGGTGGTAATCTGCTTAAAGATCTCTGCACACTCATCTAGACTATCGAGTTTTATCGATTGGCGGACTGGAGACCATGATTTTCCCCAGTTTCTCTGTTCGTGTCTCCTAACTTCCGTCCTGCCACTACGGCCGCTCGTCGTTGTTCGAACGATCTCGAGCTGTTCTTGTTCCTTTGTTCCACTGAATTAGCTCGTGTCTTTTGGCATGGCAAATCAGGTGAGTTTCTATTTTTAGATATCGCAATACGCATATACATCTAAATTTCTCCCACAACACTGAAGCGGACTGATCGGAAGCCATTACTTGTCTACTAGCCAGTTAGCTAGCAAGATGACCCAGCGACCATTATCGTTCCGTAAGGGTTAAAGTCTCACTCAGACTGGGAAGGACAAATCAACTGCTTTAGCTAAAAGCTGACATCCAGGCAAAAGGAAAATGAATCTTTGTCTAGACTCACCACACACGCCGAAGACACCAAGTCCTTGAATGTTTCCGCTCGAGGTTTCTGACAGAAGAATAATGAAAAATATCCTTATACTTACTGTTCATGTTCTCAATTTCTCGCCTAAAGTTTAAATGACACGTACATTTTTTGGGATTAGTAATCATCTAGATAAACTACTGTACTCCGAAGTGATTCGGGGCATGCCTATATGGTTTGAAGTGAACTTGGAAGTCGGCTAACCGACTTCCGTGTTAAACGTCTCTAAGAGGTCAAACGTTAAGGACTCCTTACACAAAAAAGTTATATTGCTTTTCAGAAAAAAAGCAACTTTTCGCATAAGAGAAATCCATCAAAGTAGATTCACAGGCAAAACTACGATCTACTGCAACATTGTTTTCCCGGAAGAAATTTGAACAAGGTGAAGATCACGAGATTGGCAGGATTTATTGAAGTCATCAACTATCGTGACCTCTTGTTCAACTGCAAATGGTCGTTGCCTATTAATCAGATAATTTCTCTGAGTATAGAAATTATGGAAGAGGTATGTCGCACCTAAGAATATGGAATGCATAAAATAGCCAAGAATTTGAAAGGTAATAAAACATTGATTTACAAAATACGTATGCTAATCAAATTGCCACTTGATGTGGAATGCAAATAAGCGAATAGCCAAAAAAACAGATGCATTCAAAATGTGCATCTGTTCTTGAGTGAAATATCTTGAGAAGATTTTGCAAGCTAATCAATATTGCATCCACACGTAACTAATTTTTTCTGATAAAGACCATATTTTTTTACATTGCCTTGGCAACAGTAGTTTGTGTAGTGCACCTGATTAATCTCTAGTTCTGGTATTTTGTCCACCAAAACTGGTTTTAATAGGGTTTTGTGGTTGGAGTATTAGGATAGGCAGTGGAATATATATTAGTAACTGCTATATGCATTTTTTACTATATTTAGGAATGTAGTTGATTTATATCTGTAGATTTTCCGAATCCGTATTATCGTTTGACGTATTGCAGAAAAACCTGATTATCAAATTGCAC